CTGTGTTTAGATTTTTTTTTATCGTGGCTTTTGTTGCTGTGTTTAGATTTTTTTTTTATCGTGGCTTTTGTTGCTGTGTTTAGATTTTTTTTTATCGTGGCTTTTGTTGCTGTGTTTTGATTTTTTTTAATCGTGGCTTTTGTTGCTGTGTTTTGATTTTTTTTATCGTGGCTTTTGTTGCTGTGTTTAGATTTTTTTTAATCGTGGCTTTTGTTGCAGTGTTTTGATTTTTTTTAATCGTGGCTTTTGTTGCTGTGTTTAGATTTTTTTTAATCGTGGCTTTTGTTGCAGTGTTTTGATTTTTTTTATTGTGCTTTTGTTGCAGTTTTGATTTTTTTTTTATCGTGGCTTTTGTTGCTGGGTTTTGATTTTTTTTTATCGGGGCTTTTGTTGCTGTGTTTTGATTTTTTTTTATTGTGCTTTTGTTGCTGTGTTTTGATTTTTTTTTATCGTGGCTTTTGTTGCTGTTTTGATTTTTTTTTATCGTGGCTTTTGTTGCAGTGTTTAGATTTTTTTTTTTATCGTGGCTTTTGTTGCTGTGTTTTGGAGTTTGTTGTTGTATCACAGCTTTTATTGTTGTTGTCGGAGCTTTTGTCGACTTTTCACAGCTTTTGTTGCCGTGTCGCGGCTTTTGTTGCTATGTTTAGGCTTTTGTCATTGCCATTTGGTTAAATGTTGTTGACCCCTCTGGGCCACCGTAAAATCCAGACCTCTTTATAGGGGATACAACAATAAAAAGAACTGGATTCTGGTAAAATATTTTCTTAAGGGGTGACAGTAGCGTTGGATGTAGGAGTTTGCCCTGAAATCGAAGGGTTGACGGTCTGAGCCCCGGCTTCGGCTTTCAGTGTTGTCGTGTCCTTGGACAAGACAGTGTATTGTAAAGTGCTTTGGTCAAGTCTCCTGACTTAAAAAAGCGCTATATAATGACAGGCCATTTATCCTTTTTTAAGGCTAATTGATTTCCAGCTATAGTAACGGGGAGTGTCTTAATGAAATGTTGAACTGAGATTTTAGTTCTGATAAATGAATCCTAAATTATTCTGGTTCAAATTAGAAACCATATATTTCATATCATACTGTAGTTTCTTTTAGTATTAGCTGATGAGCACCAAGCATGTATTGTGATTCATCGGAAATTGGTTTTAAGGTTGGAGTCTAAAATCTTGGATGTAAAGACAACTAAAAAAAAAAAATCAGTTTTAACTTTAAACCATATTCAGGGATAAACATGAGCTCCACCACCACTAAATGATGATGATTTGGTTGGTTTGTGTGTCGAACCTCTTCACATTGGAGCGGAGGACACCTCGTCTGGCACAGTTTCCTTCCGTTCATGCAGGTGCATGTTAGGCAGCCCTCTTCCCACTCCGATCCTGCCTGGCTCACAGACAGATGAAAAAACACACAAAAAAACACATGAAGCTCAGGCATTTACACGTAAAAACTGTGAGTTTAATTTATTAAACCAGGTTATGTTTCCTGCTTCCACTAAATCTAGTTGATTTAATATAAAGAGGATTACACATGTATTTTTAGTGGACTTTAAATTCAACTTCACACTTCAAATATCAGTTAAATAATTGAAAAATGCATAAATGTTGGTTTTTAAAAAGTGTATTTTCCCTTAATTTGTGCAGGTAAATATGATTATCTGCCAATGAAATTAGGATTTTTTTTACCTTAAAATGAAAAATGGCTGTTATGCAAATACAATAAGATATGTGAAAAGATAATGGTGTTTTTTTTATTTCATTTTAAACATAAATCATTTTGGTTCCATTTGAAAAGTGTCCTGCTTGCTCAAATCAAGGGAAATCCAGTTAATTTAGTAAAGAAATTACTTATATATCAATTTATGCAGTGCTGCTTCAGAGTAGGAATAAGAAATCTAATTTAGTTTAAAATGAATCAAAAAGATTCCAATATTAACAAGTTATATTCTTACATTTAGACATAATAATAAGGAAACTGTTTAAATTCCAAGTATCATGCAAATTGAGTTGACCTGTTTTACCAAAACGGAAGCACCTGCTCCCACTGAGCTGAACCATGTCAGGCGTTTACTAAAAAAATCTGGTCTTTATGGGACCACAAGTCATCATTAAGTGACAGAAAAGCAGGAATACGGGGAAAGAGGCTAAGACTAAAACATAGAGAGGGATAGAAGGAAAAGAGGTTGAACAGCCGACTTATGAGTAAGGAGAGAGGAAAAAAAAGAACGAATGATTGCTTGTCAGAGTTTGATTAATTCAATAACGCTCTAATATCCATTCCTTCATAAATAATTCCTGGCAGGCTTGCCCAGTTGCGGTCAGAGAACAGAATCTCCACAAGCCTGCCTACATAATGAATGAGGCTGAGGGGATGGAGAGGCCTTGGTGTAGTGTGTCCCCACAAGCCTTATCGCTCATCTTCTAACAGGCTGTTCTGTAGGAGTAAGTACCACAGTCGCTATGAATGGGATGAAATACAAACACCCTATCCTCGGTACAATGATGCAGCAACAATGGATACAAGCTGCCAGGTTAACTGGCCATCAGGTGTCGGTTTACCTCTCGCACGATGCCCTGGTCATGGCAGGGGCACAGGGCCGGGATGACACACACGCCCTCTAGGTTTCGGTAAAGCCCTTCCTGACACACGCAGCCTTCGGCGGAGCGGCTGCAGTTGACAGGGGAGGTGGAGTAAATGTCCTGGCAGCTTCTCTCACACAGCGGGGCCTCCTCTGACAGGCTCCTCTTCCACTGCTCCCCCTCAGGGCATTCTGGACATTAGAAAATTGGAACAATAAAAAGGAAGCCGAGTTAAATCCAGCCGATTGTTCTGACTGTAGTAGCACAAGCTTCTACACATCAGAACTTTAAAACATCCATCATGATTAAGGTCTGGTTTTGACTAAGCCGGTGTAACAAGTCTTAAACTGAGCAGTTCAGCTAATAGCCACCTGCTACAGGGTCATAATCTGGCTGGAAGGTCAAACTCTACCCCAGGACTGTTTAGCTCCATCCCTTTTCCCTTTGTCTCCCTACCAGCGTTACCGTCCTGAAAGCATCATCTCATGCAAATTAAATGTTGTTTTAACTTATGTTAATGTTATGTGTTGTTCTGTGAACACACAGCTAATTGGCTCTTTAAATCAAGTTCAAATCATGTTCAAAAAGTTAAATTTGCACATGTGTGGAACCCATTTACCACTTTCATTCAAAATATAAGAATTTATTTTTAAAAAAATATTAACTCCAGGTCATTAAGAGTTTAAATCTCTTGACTAAACTAGCGAAGATTAAATAACCTAAGCTATTATGCATTCCAAGAAAGAGCAATAAAAATGTCCAAAAACCATAATCAATAGGACGATTCAATGATGTTACATTTTGGCAAAGACTTTTATGTTGGAGAATTCAATTTAGAGATATAAAAGAGGTAAATTAGGTTTTACTAACTAAAAATTTAGAGCATTCCGTTTGTGTTCAAACTAATTCACAATGCAAATCCAAGTGGTACATAAAACTGTATTTAATAAAATTATATTTTATTCAATTACTTGCACATGTCATGAACCGAAGACAGATGGACCCAGTATACATGGAGAGACAGTCAGTAGGAAAGTTCAAAAAGTTTATTAAATAAAGAAAACTAAAGTGTAGCTGTGACTCGCGGACAATGCAGGAGGGGGGGCGGGGCACTGCCCAATCTCATACACAGATCAGACGGGAACAGAAACAGGTGGCAGGATCCAGACTTCAAGGCAAAAACAAACTCCCAGACAGGTTCAGAGTCAGACAGAGTTCTGAAGCGTGACCAGGCGGTCACGCACAGGAGCAGACAGGATCAGGTGCAGATGGGCAGGCTCAGTGGAAGAGGGTAGCCGAGACAGGACGTGGAACCAGAACTTGATGCAGGACTTTAAACCGGTCTCCTCCCTGGAGCCAGACTTACTGAGATAAAAACTGAACCTCCCCACAAATAGAGCCGAAAACCCAGAGGACTCTGCGGGGGAGGAACAGTGGACGATCAGGAGACGAGACAAACACAAAAACCCTCTTTCCACTGGCTGCCAGGATCCAGGACATGAACCTAGAAATTAACAGACTGAACAGAACGACTAACTAAGAACAAATAATGATCTGGCAACGAATGCTCAGGCTGAAGAGAATTTAACCCCGAAGAAACAGGTGACAGGAATTATACTTGAGGCAGGGAGGGAAAACGACTGTCATGAAATGGTGGTGTTGGTTTGAGGACCCAAATGCAGAGACGAGTGACTGAGATGAATTTAAGTAGTTTAATTAAGGTTCTTAGGCACATAGGCTGGAGGTTCACAGGCGCAGAGGCAGTAGTCAAAAATCTAAACAAAACAAAAATATCTCTTGAACCAGAATCTAGGAGACATCACTGAAAAACCAAAACTAAGAACCAGGAAGAGAAGTAAGACGGACAGAAGACTGACAAGAGGTTGAAGGGAAGTTAGACGACAATCCAGCAAACAGGAACTGAAGAGGAAGGGCTTTTAAAGGAGACAGAGACAGGGAGACGCTAATGAGGGAAATTGAAAACAGGTGAGAGCAAAACAGAAAACAGATCAAGAGAAAGAGGACACAAGAGGGCAGCAGAGGATAACAAATGAAAAGCTGGAACACAGGAACTAATAAGAAAACAAAATAATAATCAAATAAATAGGATAATGAAACATGGTGAACAGAAAACTAAATACTAGAAATCAAGGAGAAACAGAATACTCAAAAGAAAAAACATAACAGAAACAGGAACCTAACACTAATAAGAAAACAACATAATAATAATCAAATAACTAGAATAATGAAACATGGTGAAAAGAAAACTAAACACTAGAAATCAAGGAGCAAAAGAAAAACATAACAGAAACAGAAATCTAACAACGACAGGTGAAAGGAATTACTAATTAAGGAGGAGCAAACAGGCCAGATCATGACAGCAAAATCAGAAATCAATAGCTGTTTAGATATTTGATTCTTAAGTTTCTGTGAAGGAATCACTTGTCACTATGTTTGGTCTCTAGGAGTGTTCTGCAGAGGGAGTGGTGCACTCTGGTGTCCGCACATCAAAGAAAAACCACATCTTCCTCCACCAATGTTCAAAATTAAAATCACAGCTTATGGCATGACAATGATGCTGCAACAGCCTTGTTTATCTTTCACCAGTACTTTATATTAAACCAAAATGTTTATTTTTTGTCTCTTTCAAAACAGAGATCTTCTTCCATCTGTTTGCTATGTCCAAAACTAGGGGCATCCAAACACCGAGCTACAGACTGCTGGGTCTATTGGTCGTTCCTTTGTATCAGTTTCTATTTTACTGGGGAACAGAGCAAGTGGAGCATTTGGCGCAATTTCAAAAACGGCAAAAGAATGAAGATCAAGTCCTCTACGTCCAAGGTGATAGTTCTTTCCTCTGCAGGGTGGAAGGGCCTTCTGTTAGAGATACTTGGAGAAAGCTGCTTCTCATCTGCATCGAGAGGAGCCAGAGGAGGTAGCTCAGACATACCTCCCAATGGGAGGTAGCTCAATGCATGCTAGAGAGACTATAGGCCTACTGCAACAGTGACCGTCAATGCAAGTCTTGTTTGGTAAGACTTCTCAAAACAAGAAGCCTTACTAAACCTCTTTCTGCACTGGTAGATTTTTGCACTTATTTTCGGTAGAATCTTCCCTAAGATTACTAATCTATGAGAATCTGTTTAGTATAGATATGGTAAATGGTAAATGGCATGTACTTATATAGCACCCTTATTCAAGCCAGGAGACTTAACCAAAGCACTTTAC